GGAGTCCACAACTCCAAAATCAGTTGATGGGAAGGCTCATTTTTTTTTTTTTCTGAAGGCTCTTAGGAGAATCTGTTTCTTCTCTCCTAGCTGAGATGGCTGCCAGCAATCTGGTGTTCCTGGGCTTGTAGGTACATTGCTTCAATCTCTGCTTCTGTTTTCACATTGTCTTCTCTTCTTTTTTTAAAAAAAATTATTTATATATTGTTCATTTTTAAGCAATGTTTGCTTTTTTTCCCCCCCTCAGGTGTAGTCCCCATAGAATTTCCTCCATCGTTTCACCCTTGCACCATCTCTTCTAAATGTCTCTGTTTTTTCTTCGGTATCTCACAAGGAAAAGTGTCATTATGACCCACCTTAAGTCCAGCATGATGTATTTTGAGATCCTGTGACGATTCTCTTCCCAAATAGTCACTTTCACAGATTTGGATAGACATATTTTTTGGGATGTTTCTACTACATGACCTTAACAGGGACTTAATTCTATGAATAAAAGAATTTGTAAGCAAGGCTAGGCCATTTTACTCCTGTTATGGAGAAGACAGCATGTTTGTAGAGAATGGACATAATGAATGCTTAAATTAAGGCAAGTTGTTTAGAGAAGAGAAGGTAGATTCAAAGAGAAATTTCTGAGAATCTTAAAGCATTCATAGAGCAATACTGTCAAATAGAACTTTGTAAGATGATGGAACTCTTCTGTATTTACAAAGTCCAGTATGGTAGATAACTCACACATACTGTTGTTGAGTGCTTGAAATGTGACTAGCTTTCCCAAGGAACTGAATTTATAATTTAATTTTAATTACTTAAAATTTAAATTTAACTAGTCACATGTGGCTTGTGGACCCCATATGAGACAGCACAGTATTTTGATTACTAAATCAAAGAAACAGAAGTCCTTGAAGGTTAAGTATGAGAGCCATAATCTGTTCAAAGATAATTTGGAGAGAAATAGCAAAAAATAATGATGATAGTGAGAGGAGTGAAAAAAAAGGCAACTGAAATGGAATAAATAACAAAAATTTACATTTAAAATATTGTGAATAATAATTGTACTATTTTAATTTACTGTACATAATTCTTATCTAGAGTATCAGAGCTGTTGAGGGCAACCCATTATTTTGGTTAATGATACTGAGCTTTAGCCCAGTGTGCCATTTGTACTTTGTACCACAGCTCTATTTGTCCAGGTAGAGTGTAAATATATACTTCACAATTTATATGTGCAATTACTTCTCCTTCAATAAATGAAACAGACTTTAGTCCCAGCGCCCAGCTGGTCAGTGTTAATCTAATTTACCCTGCCTGGCATATTAATCCACACGGTAACTGTATATTTATCTTTCTCTTGTGAGTTATTATGGGTGACCACATTTCACTGGAATAAGGTGAAAATCACTGCTATGATAGGGAATGACAACTTAAATGTAGGCACATAGAACGGGAACAAATGGTGCTTGGGTAAAACAAGGTTAAGGCACCTGTGATGGTAAATTTTATGTGTCAGGGTGAGCGTGCCTTGCAATACCTATATTGAACGTTCAAGGAAGCAGCTCTCCTAGAACATCTCCTCCCTAGCTACCTCTTTCCTGTTTCACCACACTGAAACAGTGTTGCCTCTCTCTGGAGAAGACAGAGGGACTTTCCTATTTTTAATTTTCAAGAATGAGGGCTTCCTTCTTGATCCAAGTATACATGACTTTATCATTGTCCTTGTCAGCATTTACTGAATAATCCTACTGTACAAAGCACTAGATTATATGCAAGATAATTTTTGTTATTCTAAAGGGGACCCACAAAATTTTAGAACTAGATGGAACCTTAGAGTTCATCTAATACTCCACTTTCAATTTGCACATGTGGAAATTGAGATCTAGAGCAGACACACAAATCGTTCAAAACCACATGCCAAGCACAACCTCTGAGTTGCTCCTGGTTGTATGTCCCACCCTTACCAGCATCCCACAGCACAGTACCAATCTCTAGAAACCCAGTGAATTTTGTTTCTAGATTTGCCTCCTAATCTTTCCATCTCCTTAAGCAAACTTCCATTGAGTGACCAGTAGGTCCCCTTATCCTCTCATGGCAACCACTAATCTACTTTCTGTCTCTTTGGATCCGTCTATTCTGGACATTTCATATAAATGACATCACAAGTATATGGTCCTTTGCAATGAACTCCTTTCACTTTACATATATGTGTGCAAGGTTCACACAAATCATAGCAAGTATTAGTACATGTACTCTTCTTTTTATTATGACAAAATAATACTCCATTGTGTGGACAGATAACATTTTATCCATTCATCCTTTGAAAAACAATTGGGATTTTACTGAATGCTGATAAAATGTTTGACTAGCAAAGAGGCAGTGGGGGAGATCTTCATTCATAGTACTTGCTGATTTTCATGCTCAAAATACTTCTATCATGGTTGATTGCAAACTACATGACGTCAGTGAACATGGAATTGAAAAGAGATGCTAAAACAGGCTTTTGTGAGTCTCTGTGAGCCAAGTCTATTATCCCACTCTGCCCATCTTTACTGATGACATGCTTGGCTTACCAAGCTGTGGCTGTGCACATACTATTACTTTAGGACAGTGGTAATGATAATAATAAAAGTAATCCAACTGTTAATATTTATTGAACACTTTTAATGTACCAACTACTATACCAAGCATTTTTTTCTTTATTTAGTTCCTGAGCACCACTCACCTCCTTAGCAGTCAGAAGCTCCAAACTTCCAACATTCTACGGTTGGTGCATTGTCCCTAGCAGGTCTCCCTGCTTTTTCCTAAATACTCCAAACATTACAGCTTATGACTTTTGTGCTCATTCTGGCTGGTCCACTCATCCCCCTATATCAGTACAGCCCCTCCCCTCACTCGCACCAGGTCTTTGCTCAGCCATCCCCTCTTGAGAAAGGCCATTCCACCACCTTATCCCTCTCTCCTTTGCTAAGTTTTGTCTTCACAACATTTATCACTGACATTGTTTATTCTGTATATTTATTTTTTGACTTGCTTATTGACTGACTCCCCACCAAAATGTAAGCTCTATGAGGACAGAGTCTGTTTCTTTGGGAGCTTGTTGCATTCCCAGGGGCAAGGCCGGGCCCTTAATCTTGCTGGGAAGATTGGAATTTTGGAATTTTGGAATTTTCAAACACTTGCCTCTTTTTTACCTGCCTGTTTCTCCTTGTACTGTCAGAAGAATGTTTGAGAACATCCTGCATCTCTGTAACTGACCCAGGTCCTGGCACAGATAGGACACAGCTGACACAGTGGAGGACAAGCCAGTGATGTGGCTGAGAAGGTGCTTCCCTCTGAAGCCAAATGAAATGGATCCACATGACAGCTCTGGCACCAATTTTGCACCTTGGGTAAGTGACTCAACTTCTTAGATTTTTTTCACCTTGAAATGGAATAATAAGAGTTCCTACCTCCTAAGTCTATTGGGAGGATTAAGTTAATATGTCAGTTTAAAGTCATCAACACAGAGCAAGTCTCAGTGCACCTTGTCTGCTTAGCTCCGAGGACATATTCCAGGAGGGAGCTACCCGTGTCTGCTGACATATGGAAGGCCTGGAAAAGTTGCCACCTGCTCCCTTTGAGGCTCTTTTTTTGTCACCTCACATTGCTCTTCAATAAGAGCAGGTCTAAGCTGTCCTGCTGCCCCAGGGAAGGAAATGCTTTTGTTTCTCACAAAAGAAGAGACTCTTGGGCTTCAAGAAAGCATCGGCCTGTTCCTCTTTTTTGGCAAATCACTTAACCACTAGGTTTAGAAAAGGTCCAGGGGAAACCTGGTGCTATTCTGAGCCCAACTAGCAGAGACTGACTAGATCTTGAGCATCCCTATGGCAGGGGGAAGAAAAGCCTCCCACAGAGAAGTCCTTACCCCCAATCTTTGGTGGTTTTGCCAGTCTGAGTGGAATAAAAGGAGATGGCAAGTGGTTAGTGAAAAGTAGAGAAGTCACCCAGTGTGCAGGACTGGCTTGGAAGAAAGCCTGCTCCTGAAGCCCTCAAATCCACTTTGCTCTGTGTCCCGGCTAGGCAGGGTCCCTAACCCAGTGACTGTTTTACACCCTCCCTCCACCTACCCTTCCACTACCAACCCCAGTTCCAGGAGTGCGTTAATGTCATGAATTGCTCCGTTGGGGGGAACTTCATTTGCTAATTTCGGGTAAATCCAGTTCCATTAATATTTACTGAATGCCCACAAGGAGTCAGGCAGTGTTAACAGGCACTCCCAGAAATTTTAGGAACCCCCTTCACATTCCAGAAAATAACCCTGCCTGTCTCTGAGCAATCTCCTTTCCTGGGAGTCAGCTTTTGAGTCCGATCCTGGTAAAAAACATCAATACCTTGTACGAGGGCTCCCGCGGGAGGCCTCATTGAAGCGCTGAGGATTAAGGGGCGGGGAGTAGGGAGGAAGGAGGGGGAAGGAACAAGGTGCGTTTGCCTTCTCTTATCCTGTTCCAGTGAGGAGTCTGCCAGCCCGTTTTCCCAGGCGCGGTCCCTGGCCATCCAGAGGCTCTTCCAAGAACCGCCTGGCATCCTGGGCTGTGGACTCTGGCTGGTCCCGCTAGCGCGCCTCCTTCCGCCCCGCTCTCTCCTCCCTCTGGGATCAGTGCCTCGCTCAGGGGCGTGTCCTGCCCCACCTCCCTTCCACAGTGGTCCACTCATCAGTTAGAGCAGCGGCAGCGGCAGCAGCAGCCAGAGCCAGAGCAGCGATAGCTCGGGTTTCCAGAACTGGGGAAGGAGCTGTGACAGCGCGAGCAACTCAGTAGGGGCACCTGTGTGGAGCAGGAGTAGCCAGACGAGGGGGCAGGGTACGTTCCAGCTCTCTCTGAACCCCAAGGAAGGGAGCAACTCCCAGCTGGAACCACTGCTTGGCAGACTCTTAGCCCCCAGCTGGGAATACTGATGGTAGGAGACATGAGCAAGACCAGCTAGAGGACTGGGTCAGGTAAACGTTGGGTCCCAGTATAGAGAGGAGCCGAAAGCTGTTTCTGGGGCCATGACAACCTCACGCCTGGACTTTGAGGAGGTGGAAACTTTTCTGGATAGGCACCCAGAGTTGCTTGAAGATTACTTGATGCGGAAGGGCAAGCAGGAGATGGTGGAGAAGTGGCTGCAGAAGCACAGTCAGAGTCAGGGGACTTTAAGTCCAAAGCCCACTTTGGCTGGCACCGGCAGCTTGGCTCATGGTGGTGGCAGAGGTGGTAGCAGCACTGGTGGTGGCACTGGACCAAATGGCTCTGCCAACAGCCAGTTGGCTCCTGGTAGCGGGGACTGTGGTGGGATTCCCCTGAGTCCCAGTTGGGCCAGTGGCAGTCGGGGCAATGGGAACTTGCAGCGGAGAGCTTCTCAGAAAGAGCTCAGGAAGAGTTTTGCTCGCTCCAAGGCCATCCATGTGAATAGAACCTACGATGAACAGGTGACCTCCCGGGCCCAGGAGCCGCTGAGCAGCGTGCGGCGGAGGGCGCTTCTCCGGAAGGCCAGCTCCTTACCGCCCACCACCGCCCATATTCTTAGTGCCCTCCTGGAATCAAGGGTGAATCTGCCTCAGTACCCCCCGACGGCCATGGACTACAAGTGCCACCTCAAAAAACATAATGAGCGTCAGTTCTTCCTGGAACTGGTCAAGGACATTTCCAATGACCTTGATCTTACCAGCCTGAGCTACAAGATCCTCATCTTTGTCTGCCTCATGGTAGATGCTGACCGCTGCTCTCTCTTCCTGGTGGAAGGGGCAGCTTCTGGCAAGAAGAGCTTGGTCTCCAAATTCTTTGATGTGCACGCAGGAACCCCACTGCTACCTTGCAGCAGCACAGAGAACTCAAACGAGGTGCAGGTCCCCTGGGGCAAAGGCATCATTGGCTATGTCGGGGAGCATGGAGAAACTGTCAACATTCCTGATGCCTATCAGGTAGGACTTTGCGTTGTCTCCCTTCCAGAGCCCTAGTGCCCGGGGAACAAGCATTCAGGTACCCTTTGGCCTCCAGAAATACATTGATTTAAGCTCTCTGCAACTTGGGTGTTGTTATTTAAATTCCTTCTGAGTTTAAACTAGTTAGAATGTTTGTATATCATTTTTGATGTAATGGACTTTCTGGACACACAGTGGCTTATGCAAAATTCACATCCCACAGGGCCACACTTTGCATCCAATAACAATAGCACATGTTTGTCTCTGAGGACACTTTGTCTTTAAGAATACCAGTGCCTGGCTTTAGAAGCATTTGTCAGGTGCTAGAAAATGTCTACTCCAGAATTCCCCTGTTAGTCTGAAGAAAGTGGGCTTGTTGGTATTTCTGATGTCTTTTTGGGATTGTAATGCATTTCATTCTCACTCAGGGTTGGAAAGGGAAGAAAATAACTACTTCTCTTTCCTTCTGTAGCTTAGAGTTACATGAATTTCAATATAGGGAAGAAGAAGAAAAGAGGAGGAGGAGGAGAGGAAATTGCTCAGGGGAACGATTCCGACCCATTTGTGCTTTTTAAGATCTATTTTTAACTGGTTTTGGTTTTTACATTTTACTTGTCATGGACAAATAGAGGGGTTATTTGATTTTAGGCTGAAATATAGCATTATCTGAAGTCATCTTTTGAAAGGACTGAGTTTGTGAAACAAATAAAAAGATAATTTATTTTCGCTACTCCAAAAGCAGTCAATAGGGAAAGCATGCTAGTTTCAGATGGAAAAGGGAACCCAGCATGCTATTTTCTGGTATTTCCAGGCGTTTCATTTTCACAGTGATTTGAACTTGACATTAGATTCTGGGTCTGAAAACCAGTCAGTTCTAATTTCTTCGGTGTCTATTCACTGAACATAATAAAACTAGAAGTCACTTCTATGAAGCTTCTTCAGGGAGAAGAGTTCTTCCCCTTGGTTATGAAAATCTTACAGTCATTTAGTGAGCAATTCTTCCAATTGTCTGATAGAGCTATAGGGTTCTCAAGATTTTAGTTGCTTTTGATTAAAATGGCAAAAGTGGTGGGAAGGATACAAAAGGTAAATTTTTTTCTAGTTGACCTGAAAGTTGACAGTTTGACATGGAAAACTGACCAGCTTGTACTAACTGAGTTTCATGTTTTTGTGATGTCTGTCAGTATAACACTTGTCCTGCCCGAATGCCATTTTTGTTAACCTTTTGTTATTGATTAGGTACATTATTCTTTATATCTGTCTTGAAGGCTTTGATAAGTTTAAGTCAAATAACCAATAAATGACCTTTAATAAGTGTTGATTTCTCTACAAGCCTAGAAAGACTTGGGAAGAAATAAAAGCACTTAATAACTGATATGTTGAAGATCCTGTAAAAAATTGAAAAAGCACAAACTTTTCTTTCCCGTTATTTCCACATCCTTTTTCTGTGCTAAAAATCCCTTCTTAGTTGGGTGATACTTGTTATACTCTGGAATTATAGTCTTTTCTCTTTTATTGCATTTGTTTTTCTTATTCTTCCCAGGTTGATTTACTCCCATTTCTGTAATTTTTATTTCTTACTACAGCCACCGTTAGTATGACTTTAGGAGAATTTCTTAATCCCAGTCTCAATTTTCTCATCTGCAGAATGGGAATAAAAATACCTGTCATCTCGCACAGGTTAATATTTTGAAAATAAAATGAGATATTGCATTAAAGCTCCCCCAGACATTATGGGGCACATTGCATTTACTCGGTAATTTTTTAAATTTTTAAATTGTTAAAATTTTTAACAATTTATGGTGATGATGATACTAATTGCTAGTATTTTTCCACCTCTTCTTTATCTCATTCTCAATTGTTTTCTCCTTTTCTGGGATGAGAACTCAGAACAGTCTACTCTTTTCCTGAGCAATGCTCCATCTTCACATTAAGACTTTTAGAACCAGCTTCACATTCAAGGAATATGGAAATATCTACCCTTTTAAGATTCTTCTAAATGTGAGAGATAACATGACCATAACTTATCCTCTCCAAAGTTCTGCACTTTGTTCCTCTTAGTGACTTGTGCATTATACACATTTAATAGATTTCTGTTAATGTTGTATTCTTCCCAACTTCTAGAATCCCCCATCCTTTGCATTTCCTGCTGTTACAGATTTAATGAAAACTGACAACCTTTCAAATGCATGCTCTTTTATTATGATGTTGTTATAATTCTGATCATATATGTAAACCTTTTGCAGTTTCTATATAAAAATATGTAACCATATTGTTCTCTGATTCTTGCTTAGGTATTTTCAAGGTATTTCTTTCTCAGGTTCAATTGTATGCTTATTTTTCTTCAGGAGATGATTCTTTTTTTAAGTGTGGGTGAATTCAGGTTCAGTTTAGTGTTAGATGTTAGGGTTAGGGCTTGGGCTAGGTGTGTGGCTAGGTTTAAGGTTTAGATTAGGGTTCTATTTTAGAAGTTAGGTGTTAGGGTTTGGTGTAGGGATAGGTTTAGAATATGGGTGGATTCAGATCAGGAAATGAAGTTTTTATCACATGGAGTTTCAGTATTTAATCATTTGATAATTAGATTGATGGTCCTCTTGGAGATTCAGAATATGGATGAGGGAAAGGTATAAGACATTCAGGATAATAAGCATGGCATTCTTTAGTAAAGGATAGACTATCTAATGAAATCCAAAAGTTAAATAAAAATTTGACAGAAAAAAAATTCAGTTTATTTCATTATTTTCCTTAATTAGTGATTAAAAAATCAAACTTAAAATGAAGGGAAAAATTAAGAATTGCAAGTGGAAAAAAGTTCATTTTAGGTATCTAATATGTATCAATAGTGACTATAATTTACCATTTTCCCCCTGACAGTTATAAGTTATTAAACAGCCCACTTAAATATAGTAATGAAAATTGCCCTCAAGAGGTTGAAAATAAGAGCACTCAAGTAACAGGTGTTCTCTTTGAGATTATTCTAGGCATTTGGAATATAGCACTTTAAACATTAATAAAAAGTGTGAGATGATATTTTTGTTAGTGTTGATAATGATGATACAGGTGTTTGATGGGCTTTGGCTCTGGAACGCAGCCAGGGTGTTTTGTTAGGTGAGCTGAGAAAGGAAAGGTGATGACGCAGAAGGGTTACAGGTGTGCCAGCCTTTCAGCCTGATCTGTTTACACAACAGATTCATTCATTCATTAGTGCCAATGAACACACACTGGGTGTCCCCTGTACCTAGGGTCCTCCTAGGAGCCCTGTAGGTGTACTTAGGTAGGAGGATATGCTGCTTGTCTTCCAAGTGCTTATAGTCGAAGGGATATCATATACAAACAACTAATACCAAGCTGTCCTTAATAAATGACACAAACTAAATGACATTAGTCTCAGAGGAGAATGGAATTACACTATGACTGGGCTCATGATGGAAGACTTCATGAAAGACATGTCACTCAAGTTGGAAAGCATTAGATTTGTTAGAGGTGGTTGTCATGAATGAGCACAAGATTGGTATAGGACAGCAAATGATTTAACTTGGCCAAAGTACTGCATATGCTATAAAATAGATGTGCAAAAGTATTGCAAGGGCAAAGATCAAAGACCTTAAATGCCTGACTAAAGCATTTGAACTTTACTAACAATAGGTTACAGGGCCTTAAAAACATCTTAGCATGGGGCCTCCCCGTGGTGCAGCGGTTGAGCGCTGGGTTGCGAAGCTGCTCGCAGCCTCTGCGGCTCCGGTTCCATCCCCGGCTGCTCCCCGGCCACCGGAGGAGGGTCCCACATGGCGCGCAGACCTCTCCTGCCTCCCGCTGCTCCCCTCAGCAGTGTACTTCGGTCCTTCTGCCTGCTCTGCTCCCCGCTCTGGCTCTGGTGATTCTCTCACCCTCCCACACTTCTGACTGTACACAGTGCTTGTATAAACAAAACAAACAAACAAACAAAAATAATAATAATAAAAAAACCCAAAAACATCTTAGCATGACCAGAATAGTGTTAGAGGTAACCTGGTGGCAGAGATTGAGTGAATTGAACAAGAGGAGGCTTAAAACTGTGAGAAGAATTAAGAGTCGATTATGATGGCCTGGTGGAGCCACAATGAACAGTGAAGCTAGTGGGACTGGGCATTGGGCACAGAAGGCCACGTCCTGCAGGTGTGGGCTTGCGTTAGGAGGGAGGAAAGTCAGTGATGACTCAGATTCTAAAGGTCTGTGATATTGAGAAGGATAATGACATTATCAAAAACAGGAAGAGAAGCTGGGTAAGGAAAGCTTTTAAGTACAGTCAACTCCATAATTTGTGGAGCTCAGTACAAAATGATAAAATAGGAGCCTGGCTAGAGGTGGAAAAGTAAATTTCCCTTTCCCAAAGGTCTGTTGCCCCAACTCACAGCAGACAAGTGACCCAAAGGACTGCAGCCTCTACAGTGGGAAATGCTCTGTAAGGCAGGCCCTTGAATAATTCCTTGAAATCAGTTCAACATTGTTTGGTTGTAATGTTGATGAGAACAAAACAAAACAAGCCACTCCTGGCTGGGGCCACTGTCAGTGTGGAGTTGTATGTTCTCCCCATGTGTCTGTAGGTTTTTTCTGGGTTTCCTCCCACATCCCAAAAGTAGGCACGTAGGTTAACTGACATGTTGAAATTGTCCCAGTCTGAGTAATTGTGTGTGGGTGTGAGTGTGCCCTGTGATGGAAAGACATCCTGTCCACGTGTTCCTGCCTTGTGCCTGGAGCAGCCAGGATAGGGGCCAGCCATCCACTCTCATGATCTGAAATAAGTGTGTTAGAAAATGAATGACTGATGAATACAAATTATTGTTCAAAGCTAGATGTGTTTTGGGTCTTTATTTAGAAGTTTGGTTGATGTTTTTGTGACCAGAAATATGCTATAGGAATTTAGCCCTTGGTTATATCAATTAGCCTATGTGAAACTTGATTTCATTGTTCATTGTTTTGCTTATTGTCGCAGTTTCCAAGAACCTATATATATTTAGTGA